GGGATGATTTCTTAAGAAAAAGAGTTAAATATATTTTTCTGATCAAGCTCAGTGAAAGTATATAAAAATTTTCAGCTCTGTAGTATATTGAAGAGTCAAAGGGGAAACAAATATTAGTTAAAAGTGTAATTTGTAACATGCTTAGTGTTATTTGGCTACTGACCTCATTTTCAATAGTGCCCAAAGCTTACAGCTTGCCCTGACCATGTTTCACAGCCCACTTTTGTCTTACTTTACCCATGTGCATCTGCACAATTTAAGCTAGTTTCATTTCTACAGGAGAAAATACAGTTTCAAGTGAAGTAAAAAGATAAAAGTTCTCTGCATTCCAGGTCTCCTTCCTGAGCCACATTCATTCAAAATCTGTATTAAAACAAATATTTCATGACCTTTTGTCTCTCCTCTCTCATTTATACACTTCATAAACGCTCCTGTTGGTCTAGTGCAGAAACTGACTTGAGGTCATGCAGGTGACACAAAAGTCATTTCCCTTCTGTGAAAGGCAGAACTTAAACAGCACATAACTCACCTTCCAGATCATAACAAATATGTCAGTGCTACTTGCATGAAGAAAATTATAAGCTGCATGCAAAAGTGGGGATGTAATTTTCATGCGCATTTCTTTCAAAAGCCTCAGAGCTTTACAAAACCCTTACACCTGGCTACATCCCCAGTTCCCATGCCACCTCATGCACTGCACCAGCTCAGCTGCTCTTTTCTTACGGCTGCACAATAAGAAGACCTATGTTCAACCCTTTGCTCTTCTTCTGGGTTATTTTTAACCCATTCTCGTTCCCGAAGCTGATTTACTACACAAACATGTGCATATCTGAGCAACTGAGAGAGTAGATAATAATACAAGTACAACACTGGAAAGGACATGATATAGGAATGGGAAACAAAAAGCCAAGGGCATTCTGCCCAAGAACCACAGACATGCAACTACTGTGAAAGCACGGTCTTACGTCACCCATTACTAGGCTTCCTCCCGTTTGCGTTGCCTTTCCTAGCACATGTTCTTGGCTCAAAACCAACTGTGCAGTTCTGAGCTAGGGAATCCAGAAATGCAGCCTAAACTAGAAGCTGCAGTTTTAGTGCTCAGGACTGTTAGGTTGATTATTTGCTTATTCCCAACCCCCTCCATTAACAGCAGTGAATTTACTTTTATTCTTTAACATTTGGTAATGGGCAAAAACATAAGTAACTTCTTCAAAGTCAAAATTAATTTCAGTATTCTTCACTATCAAAAATAAATTCTGCATTTGTGAAACGTAGTCTAACATTAAGTCACATCTTTAGAGATTCAATCTGTATTCTCCTTTACACATGTTAGACATCAGTACAAGGCGGGACTTCATCACTACTGTTAATTTATTTTCATTGGATTGTTTTAAGACTAATTCAAAAAAATAAAAATACATAAAAAAAATAGCACATAGCATGTCCTCAGCCCAGGCACATCCCCCTTTTGAAAGATTAAGAACAAGATGTCTATCTCAGCATGTCTCTGTTGGCCACTACAATTTAGACATTCTTCAAATTGCATTTGAATCCAGGAGGGCAATAGCCCTTACATTAAAAAACTCCTTCATTAAGTGGCTCCCCATCGTGCAGCCCATTACAGGCTCTCATGCCCTGACCTTGCATAGCCTCAGAGTAATGCTGCTTTTAAAGGGAAAACTGAACAGGGTAAATAAACTATATTCTTTATCTAAGAGTAAAAGTAACTGTAAAAATACTACTAATATGGACAAAGTCACCCCTTCAAATATTCCCAGTCATACTAATGAGAGCAATACTATTCATTTAGAGTCTTGTACAAAACAATGAAAAGTCCCCTAAAACAACAGTGGAAAAAATCCATGACCAAAACTGGTTTTCATCTTAACAACATTCTGCATTGTGTAATGTGAATCAGTTATACACCTGACAACATATGCATGCTCTAAAGTGTTTGCTTCAACATACAGAAGATGCCTCTTTTCACACATATAAAAATATCAGGTAAATACTTGGAATTCATTTTTGTTACCTACAAAAATAGAACACTCGGTCATCAAGCCTGCCCCACACAAAATGCAAATTCAGAGCTTCTACATAAGGAACAACTAAATAAATTTGGAATATTCAGATTAGAACAAGTGATGATAGGAGAAGGGGGCATATTGCGTTATAAAGTATAAAAACAAAAAAGCAAAAGTGAACAGCATACAAAAGGCAAGTAGTAATCAACTTCGCTCACTTCCCATTATGGTTTATGAGCCCAGTATGTATCCAACAGAAATAGCATATGCAGGTTCAAAGCAAGTATGAAGAGCTGCTTCTTTACATGATTTGCAGCAAACACTTGCAGTCTTTGCTACAGGGCAAGGCAGATACTAGAAGTCTTCAAGGAATCTGCATGCAGCAAGACAAAAGCAATATAGGCAAGATATGAATTCATTGAGAATGTCAAAAGCACAGACCATTTCTGGTAGAGGAAATTCCTAAATATCAAATAACCAGAAACTGGAAAAGTATTCCAGGGAATTATTATCAATCATTCAGCCTACTTTTATATTCTTCCTTATGCAACTGGTAATGGTCAGTCTTAGAAACAGTGGACCCACAGCTTTATCTAGCACAGTCACTTTTATATCATCTTGTAAACTGAAAGTTGGACATCAAGTGTTTTTCAAGGTTTTAATGAGTAATCCAAAGGCTTTATCATGGGAGCTGTAGTTCAAACAATTTACAAGCATCTGCTCTAAGTTTTCCTATTTCTAGATTAATCATCATGCCCTGCATTAATTTTTCCAAGAAAATAAAAAAGGAACAGATAAGGGTCTTTTACCTTTCCTCAAAAACAAACAACAAACAAACAAACAAAAATCTATGCATACCATACAGCTCTCCTCCAGCTCTCTGACTGCACAGGAAAACATGGTTCTTAGGAGATTTCTGACTTGTATTAACAGCTTAAAAAAGCAGATTTTTTCTAAGTGAAAGCAGAAATATTTTAACTATCCATATGCCTTCATTAGCACATCTTATTCTACTTTGATAACTTCTTCCTGAATGGCAGATTGCTTCCTAGCCTAACTTCAGAACAGTCAGCTAGACCCTGCAATGCTAGAAAAGTGCAAGGCAAATTTTACTACACATAGTACTTCCTGCTTTAGTTCAAGAGTCCTGCTGCTCCACTTCCTTTGATTCACTAAAGGAATTTGGCGTTCATTTTTGAACACTGGTACATTTCTAGAAATAACTTAAAATTGAGGACTGTGCTATTTCAAACAGAAGAGTTCAAGTATTTAGATACAGCATGGATCTTCAGCATCTGAACACTCTACACTTCTCAATGGCCTCTCATCAGAAAAGACAGATTGCTCACTTGAAGTCTGGATCTCAACAACCTAATACTAAACTTTAAACAGCAATTCAAAAATATGATATTTCAATTATAATTAATTAATTAATTAAAAAGAGGAGGAAGACTATTTTGTATTTGCTTTGGACTATTTCCTAAACATCAATTTGCTCTGCTGAATTTGATTAAGCAACTATGATTTTACACAAAAATGTTCAAAAAGAATTTCCTCCAGAAGAATGCACATGCTGCACTTGGGAGAGGAAAGCACACCCCAAACAAAGAGCGAGCTCCAGGAAATGGGGCTGCAGCAGAATGGAACAGAAATGAGGTGTCATAGAGTACTGTGTCATTTCATGCTGAAAATTGCCTAAGGATGACAGGTATGTTATTTGGAGATGCAATAAGAAGCTATCTTGCCATTTAGATTCATTCAAAATACAATTCCTCAAATTGCTGTTCCTCTATAAAAGGTGTGCCTGAAGTCTGAGAATACCAAATTTCCAAAAAATGGTGCTTTCACTGTAATTAAAAAACTCACACCGTTTTAATAAACATGTAGACTCTGAAAAATGCGACCTGAAAAGTAACCAATTTCTGCCTTCCTTGGGGAGAGCTTATTTTGAATTCTTTAATACAAGACCATCAGCATCACGAAATGCAGCTGCTTCAGGGCTCAAATTTACTCTTCCATATGCAAACTTGAATCATAAAGCAACCTACTAAATAAACCTATTAAATGAAGCTTGGGAAACATGTGGCATGGTAACAGTCACTCATATCGGTGACGCCAAAGTAGGGAAGAACTAGCTAATTAGTAGTCAAAAAATAAAATTATACACACTAACAGCCATTAATAATGCACAACAACCTATAAAAAGCAGGGAAAGAAATGACGAAGAGGTTAGGTTGCTTCTGTGTGGCAACATTTCCTACTACTTCTCCACACATAACGCACTCCACAAACCCTTTTGGATACAAATAAAATAACCATGACCTTTTTTCCTCCTCTGCATGATTAATTACTTAATGTACTATTAATTGGAAAATGTAGTTGAATTTCAAATGCTTTCATTTTCTCAGCACATCATGCTGTCTGGGAAGTACCGATTAAGCTGTTCATCAAAGGTGAGCAGACAAGGTCATGTAGGCTGTACCTCTTCAGTTATTCATTACCTGTCCTAAATAGTAATTAACAATGGTGATATTTCCATAAATCAAACCTTTTCTGATTACCTTCAGATGATGAGATGCTGGGGTGGAGGGGTGACTCAGTATAGGTTTTTTTCTGGATAACCTTTTTTTTCCCCCTCTGTTTTATAAATACCTTGATAATCCAAACACTACATCAGTTGTCATTTAGGATGTAAAATTTCATTATGAGTCAAATAGGAATTCCGCACACAATAAAAAAAAATAGATTACTACTACTTTTCTCCATTCCCAATCCTGCCACCTTTAAGGGGCAATTTCTCCTAAGAACATTTTGCGGTTACCAAGATTTGCTATTATATTTATTGTTTTCTATTTAATTTTATTATCTCTATTATCAAGCTGCAAATGAAAACCAGAAAGCATGGCTTTGACACCATACACAACAAGGCTTTTTAAAAGAGAAACGCTTTCCTTCAGTGTCTGTGTGGTGTCTCACCTTGAGGCATCTCAGGCGGCAGATAGAGAGGCTCTTGAGCACTGACGTGTACCCAGTCAAAGTCATCATACAGGTCCTGATGGTAATCACAGGGTCCTGGACCATCATCAAATGTACAGCCCCCTAAGAAAGAAACTTGTAATTAGTTGCGAATTCTATATTTATTCAAAAGCAAAGGTCCAAGACTCAAACAAATGCGGTTGCCCCGAGTGCCATGACCAATACGGGGCCCATGCAGCCCATGGCCCCACTCAAAAACTTTCTCACACAAAGCTGAAATCCTCTAGCACCTCATCCGTCCATGTTCTTCTCTAAATCCTCTCTGCTTCATGCAGCTGAGTTCCCTCAACAGTACCTTCTCTCAGAGCACAAAATCACAGCTTGAGTCACTGAGGCCTATGTGAAAGCTGGTCTAAGAAAAGCTACAGATTACCTAGGCCAAGAGGGGAAAAAAAAATACAGACAAACAAATGGGCTAGACTAGAAAACATGTAAATCAACTACCGTGATGCAGGGAAAGCATGAGTAGTTTAAACACCGACTGTAAGAATAAAGACTGCGTAGTAGAAAAGCACTCAGATAATACAATTAAAATTACTCAGAAATGAAATAATTACTGCAGAATCAATCTGATGATCTTAGTTTACTAAATCAATCCAGCATAACAGAACGTGAATTAAAGGGTCTTTTTCAGATTCACATAAACAACAGATATAAAAATCTCTCAACAAAAGTTGTGAGAAATGACAGGGACAAAGAGAAAGGTTAAAGAGTTAAACAAAACAAAACAAAAGAAATCCTTTGTAACACAGTAATATCTAGTGTGCCTCATTCAGTAAATGAATTACATTTTTCACTCAAGGTACAAAAAGTAGTGTGGGAAAAAGGGAGAAGAAAATAGGATGATCAGAGGAAGAGATGACGAGATCAATACAGAAGAAACAAAGGAACGGGGAGAGTCTGGTGGAATAAATAGTGTAGTGTAAACACAAGAAAATAAAGATGCCTTGTGTACAACTTATCTCCACTCATGGCAAACTGTCCTTGGGTTTGCTCCTTCTATTCAGAAACAGAAGGCCAGACTAATAGCGAAAGAGAAAACACGGTGTGTTATCTTTATTTAGACCGTATCTTGTAATCCAGAAAAGAAGTCAGGGGAGAACTCAAGAATTAGATTATTAGTAGCTCTCGGAAATAGAGGGGGAGCTTGCACCCTCTTCTCCTCTGTTCTCGGTAGTTTGGGCCCATCAATCCAATGGACTACTGCCACTGCCACAACCAAGTTTCCTCCAGTTAAGAAGACAGACAGACAGACAGCTTTTCAGAAGAACAAGAGTATTTGCTTCAACTTCTTTGCCCGTCTGATTTTGTTAAATACAGAATATGGGACAAGTATTTAAAAAAAAAATACACAACCAAAGAAAACATCCTTATTATAGTAAATTCAAGTTTAACTATAAAATGAGTCACCTCCATTGCAGCAACAAAGACTACTCTCATGTGCCTGAGAGGGTCTCACCAGCCCACACTTCTCACCAGCCCACACTATACCTGAGGGAGATGTGTGGTGGAGGTGGGAAAGGCAGAGGGTAATGACAAAGAAAAGCTACAGTCTGTGCTCAGAGAATAAGGACTGGATACGTATTTCAAATATCAAGTTATTTTCGAATTATTCAAAAAGTTAAAACTATTTCTAAAATTTGGATATCAAAAAATGAATTATTTGGAAAAAAAAAACAAATAAAATATTTTTACTTGGCCAAAATGAGTTAGGCAAATTTTACCTAAGGTGCAGATTGTCCACAAAATTAAAATATTCAGATTTGGCAAGGGACAGGTTTTTTTTACTAAAAAATTTCAGCAGAAAATTTAGACTCTGTTCCAAATTGAGATTATATGCCATATTCAGAAAGAGATAATTTAAATCTAACGGTTCTGAGAACATCATTTTGAATAAACGAAAAAACAGCCTAAGTTTTGCTAATTCTGCTTCTCCAAAACTATTGCCCGACATTCATTCTAGGATACTGCTAGGACTAAGAATTAACTAGTGCTTTTAGCTGATAAGGACAACACTAAGAGAAGGGTGTTGGGGGGGTGTGAAGAAACCCTCTAAACCTTCCAGGTAGCTTCTTGTATCAAAAAAACAAAAGCAAAAAAATCTTAGAACTTCACTTGTGGCTCCATTTCCACTTCAGTAAAACCCTCTCATACATTACTCTGTGACAGCCGAGGCACAACAACAAAACCATTGAACCCACATCTCATGGTCTGTACCAGGTTGATTGCTACATCACTGCCACTGCCAAAGATCACAGAGCACAAAAGGAGAAATCTTTGTGCACTGGAGATTCGTTTATACCTTTAAAGGTTCCAACGCGGATGCCCTATTACCACCTAGAGACTTTTCTAATTAACATCCATCATGATAAAGCCAGAAAGGCTTCGAACATAAATCTTGTTCTTTGATTTAACTTGCAGGACACTGCTATGATTATTCTCGAGCAAAAATGTACATTTCCTTAGACATTTAATTGATAAATGAATTGTAGTTTCCCTTAAAGGGAAGCTATCACTGTCTGCTGTCACTGCACCAAAATGACATATGGCTTTGAAACACATGCCTGCAGGGCACCCATTACCCTTTTTAATGGTTTAAGTGTCCTCTGTATATAAATTTAAACTACCAATGGATCTTGTAGACTCATTTGGAAGATGAATGTTCTTAACTGCTCATCTTTGTGCCCACTATTAATTTTAGTTATCGCTGTTCTGATTAGTAATAACAACAAGCCTGTTAATCTACCGCACATTCTGGGTAGCGCATCCCCACCACATCAACAAACCAAGTAAGGGCCACGTATTGCATACATGTAAACCACGTTTATTGAGGTGGACCTGCTGCAAAATCCACCGCATATGAGAACTGCTTAAACCAACGTGCTTTACCTCACCTCCCCTTCTTGGCAACAAGCACAGGACATTGCAAGATAAGTTAAGAAAAAGCCGCTGCTGCAGTTTTTTATCCAGTGGAATACCATGAGACAGACTAAGCATTTGTAGATCTTTTGCAGATTTCCTATGACTTGAACAAATTGAACAATTGAACAAATTGCTATCTCCCCTTCTCTGTTTTAACAGGCTACTGCCTGCAGGCTATTTCAGTAATGCAGGGTACTAAGCAATAAGCCTCACATAGAGGAACACACAAGGACAGGAAATGACAGTGCTGGAAACCTTCAGTAATGGTATATTTTTCCCAATTCTTTACTCAAAACTATATACATATAGACACTATATACACTGTACTATATTACATTTATAGATTACCATATACATTGTATATACATTAATCTTTATCCACTCAAATATAAAACTAAAATTGATAAAAAATACACAGCAGGAAAGGACTAAGTATATGTATAAGTACCTGAGGGGTGAATGTAGGGAGTGTAGGAATATAGGGAGGATGGGGCCAAACTCTTCTCAGTGGTGGCCAGTGACAGGACAGGGACTCATGGGTACAAGTTGAAACACAGGAAGTTCCATCTCCATGTGAGGAAGAATTTCTTTCCTGTGAGGGTGACAGATGCCTGGAACAGGCTGCCCAGAGAGGCTGTGGAGTCTCCTTCTCTGGAGATCTTCAAATCCCGCCTGGATGCCGCGCTGTGCGATCTTCTCTAGGTGTCCCTGCTGGAGCACGGGGGTTGGACTAGATGATCTTTAGAGGTCCCTTACAACCTCAGCCATAGTGTGATTCTTAGCACCCTACTTCAGATACCTTGAAAATACTTAAAATACACTGTTAGTGTTTTTCGAAGAAAGTGGACTCTCCTGATGAATGCTCAGTATCTACCCATGGGATGCAGCAGCTGAATTTACCTACTTCATTTTTACTGCCCACCTCTTTGGGGGTAGTTTGCAATTGCAACTTCCCCTCAAAAAAACTCAGACAAAGGTACCCCACCAGCAGCCACCATCCCATCAGCCACCACATTCGTATGGCTGATGTTGAGCAACAGCAGCAGAAGGAACCAAAGCAAGACCAAGGCCTGGGCTGACCTAGGCCACAGACACCTACGAGGAAGCACCTACAGCTTTGCAAGAGCAAATTAGTTGCTCTATCAAGAGCAAAAGTCTTAGCAACAGCACCAAAGTTAGGGGCCCCATAATCCAGTAAAGCAGAAGGACAAAGGGTACAGGGTATAAATTGAAACACAGGAAGTTCCATCTCCATGTGAGGAAGAATTTCTTTACTGTGAGGATGACAGAGCCTCGGAACAGGCTGCCCAGAGAGGTTGTGGAGTCTCCTTCTCTGGAGATCTTCAAACCCTGCCTGGATGCCACGCTGTGCCATGTGCGCTAGGTGTCCCTGCTGGAGCAGGGGGTTGGACTAGATGATCTCTAGAGGTCCCTTCCAACCTCAACCATTCTGCAATTCTGTGATTTTTTAAATCCAGGTGCTTATTTTGCCAAATGTATTCTGGGTGACTCAAATTTGTTCTGTTTTTGAGGAAGCATTTGGGAAATATTTGTATTGCACAGAAATCCATCAAATCAACAGTTCTAACAACAAGTTTCTAATATCTTTTTCTTTAGCTTCACGAGATCACTGGCTTCAACTTAAAAACCACCTAGGACAATCTCACATCCCTTTCCAACACCCTTCTCAAAGAGATGTGGTAAATCTCTTTTAGCCTCATAAAATTTCCTGAGTACACGCCCATTTTCATCTATAAAAGAGAGAATCTTCAATGTTCATTATAAGAAGGAAGAGATGAATATCCTACACTGAAGTCTAAAGAAAGAAATTAAGGCTCCACTAAATGGCAAGGTCATTAAGATTAATGTAAGTTTAATCTTATAAGTTGATTTTAAGGATTTTAAGATTAATTTAATTTAATACAGATCATATAGTCACGTTTATACATCAGCTATAAAAAGCTATTTAAAGATTCTTGAATATAAAGACAAATTGCTTTTTTTTAAGCCGTTACTGTGGTGGTACTTCAGCAGCAACACTCAGTCTTGACACCACTCTGCAATTTTGATTTCTCCTAC